TGTTATGTTATTCGACATGTCACAGTATCGTAGGGCCTGCCAAATAGCATATTGTTCAGCAGTAAATATGGATGCTATTGGTGATAGTGTCCATTGATGTGCAGTTTGATCGACTACTATAGCACAGCCGACACCACTGTCAGTTCGCGATCCATCTGTATAGATAACTGTTGCTGCCGGATATCTAGAAAACGATTTCCATAAAACGTGATTTTATGAGTTCAGATGGATGGGTCATTCTTAGATAGTGCAGTCAGCTCGAGATTCACATTTATTTTGGGTGACAGCCATGGAGGAGAATTCTCTGTGTTTAACATATAGATAGGGTTACATGATATACCAATTTCCTCGGCATATTCTTTAACTCGGACTCTGAGAGGTCTTTGTTATTGTGGGCGACAGATGTAGCTCTCATCCGTACTGAAAATGGTAGAAAAGTTTCTATGGAATGGTCGTGTTTGAATCTGTGCAGAATACGATAGTGCAAGTTTTTTACGTCTAATGGATAGAGGTTCAACTCCGGATTCGCAATAGAGGCTAGCTGCTGGAGTTGTACGAAATGCCCAAGGCAGAGACGTAATCCTTGGTTGTGAACTGTATCAAGTTTTTTAAGCAGTGACGGTCTTGCAGATGAGTAAACAATGCTACCGTAGTCAAAGTTTAGATAGAATGATGCTCTTGTATATCCGCAACAGCACTCTCAGCTTCTGCTCCGAATCGTGTTGACGACGGCATTTTATTAGGTCTTAGGGCTCTCTTGCACCTGTTGGTAAGATCCTCAATGTGTTCTCTCCATGCTCAGTTTACTGTCGAGTGTTAGGCCTAAGATTTTACAGAAGACACACAGGGTATGCGTTCATTGTTGAGACAGAGGCGTGGATCATAGTGTGGTCGTCTAAGCCTACAGAAATGGATACATCGTGTTTTTATCCGTGATGGGTCAATCCTTTGTTCTTAGCATTCTGAAAGATGGTATCAATAAGCAGGTTGTAGAGTCGAGTAGTTAGTTTTCACCAACAGTTTTTCCTGAAGTTAAAATGCATAAGTCATCAACATATAAGCATTGGTTTATAGCAGGATGACATTCTCAGTGATGGAGTTTATTGCTATCGCAAAAAAAGAATGCACTGAGGGTTGATCCCGTGGGGATACCATTTTCCATGATGCGTGTTGTGGAAAAGGTATTTCCTATTCGTACTTGGAGGAGACGATCTGTCAAAATGATGATATAAGATTGGTAGATTTCCCTAATTCCCAGCGATGTAACTGTTTGAGGAATCATATCTCCACGTCATATCATAGGCTTTTTCTACATCAAACATTACAGCGACAGTATGCTGTCTGTTTTTGAAGCCATTTTGTATCAAGTCTTCAACTAGACTAGTTGGTCCAATGTGGATCTAAACCTCCTGAATCCTGCTTGGTGTCCTACAAGCAGTTCATCATTTTCGAAAATCCACATTAAACGTTCACAAATCATTCCTTTCCAGTATCTTCCCAGACAGCAGGTTAAGCTTATAGGTCTATAACTGGAAGCCACCAGGGATCCTTACCATCTTTCAAAATTGGTACAATTGTGGCAAGTTTCCAACATGTAGGATATACACCATTTACCCATATCTCATTGTAGATGTTCAGCAGGATTACTTTCAATTTTCTGTGGTAGATGTACGATCATTCATAATTAATCTATCTGGACCTGGAGCTGATCTGGAGACATATTGAAGTACTGCCTCTAATTCATGCATTTTCAAAGGAAACATTATAATTGAGACAATTATTTGTGGAAAAATCTATATGGATCTCTCGTTGCATTTTCTGGGCTCTAAAGGTCTGATTATAGTTGGAGGAGCTGCTGATGTTAGCAAAATGGTCTGCAAGGTGATTGGCGATGCTATTTTCATCATTTATGGTTGTTCCGTCTATTTTGCGGAGGTGGTTTATTTGTCTTAGTGATCCATTACCCTTGATCGAGCGAACTTTATTCCATACCTCACTTGATGGGGACTCAGATGTTATGCTGGATACATAATCTTTCCACGACTGCCTTTGATTTTCCAACATTAGGCGTCGAGACCTAGCTCTGGCCCGCTTAAAGGAAATCAAATTTGCCGTGGAAGGATGCCTTCTGAATGTATTTAGCATATTTTTCTTTATTTTGATAGATTCAGCAATTTCACTATTCCACCAGGGTAGTGTACGTCTACCTGGGATACCTCTACTGAGTGGGATACTAGTAAGAGCCGCTTCATTTATAACGTTTGTTATAAACTCTACCGATACACTGCTGTCCTGAGAAAGTTCCAAGGAGGAAAATTGCTGTTCATATGTATGCCAATCTGCTTTTCGCATGATCCAGTATTGAGGAATTTGTGTATTGGCTTTGTGTGTATCGAGGGTCACCTTGCATGGAAAATGGTCACTGTTATGAAGATCATCTAAGACAGACCAGATGACACGTCCAGCAATTGTGGATGAACATATAGCCAAATCAATTGCTGAGAAGCTTTGACAACGCGCAGAAAAGTGTGTGGGTGAACCATCATTTAGCAATGTAAGGTCATCTCTTTCTAATAGTTCGGAAATTGAGCGCCCTTCAGTTCTAGTAGATCCCCATAATAGACTGTGCGCATTGAAGTCTCCTACAAGTAGAAATGGTGTGGGTAGCTGCGAGATAATATACTCAATGTCCTCCAATTGCCATTCCCCATTTGGAAGGTAGATGTTGCAAACAGTTACCTTAAATGGAGTTAAGATCCTGGTTGCAACGACCTGTAATGGAGACATTATTTGGATATTTTCAAAGTTAGCATCTTTCTTAATAATATTTGCAACACCTCCATGAGCTCTGCTTTCAGATGAGATATCCTTCCTAATGATGTTATACCTTTTTAGGTTATACGGAAAATTAGGACGTAAGTGAGTCTCTTGCACACATACGCAGATGGGGTCATGGTCATGCAGTAATATTTTTAGGTCGCAATATTTTTGTACGATACCATTGCAGTTCCAATAAATTATTGATTCCATTGTATGTGTTATTTTTTTTTGTTTTGTTTAAAGTTAAATTATAATGAATAGTGAGTAAATGTTATAAATGCGAAGATAATATAAATATATGCAGTGGTATTGGATATAAATAAAACTAACTGGTAAGTACTGTAATAAGTTAAAGATTAAAATAAGATGTTTATCAAACTATAAATATTTTAAGAGGTTGTGTTCCGAGGTTTTCCCCTGGGCCAACCCTTTTTCTTTTTTCTCCCACGCCGTTTCGGTGTTATTTCTGATTTTGAAGATTGTAAGTCCACTGACTCTTCTGACGAGGAGCCCAGCGTTGCTTCTTCAACTACGGTGTTGGACTTATGTAGCTTAACATGAGATGTTGAAGGCGCAGGTAATTTTTCTTTATCATGTTCTTCAGGGTTAAGGGCGCTTTTCAAGGCAGTGATAAGAGGTGGTAGTAGTTCTTGTACAAGAAATTTTGAATCTATCTGGGGAAAAGTAGAAACAGACTGGGCATATGATACCCTAGGCTGTGGAGTGTTGACAACTACCTTTTTTTTGCTTCTAAATATCCCAATCGTTCCTTTGCCCTTATTTCTTGGATAGCTGCCTCTTGTTTATAAATAGGGCAGCTCTTGGATCGCGCTGAATGATTTCCATTACAATTTATACAGGAAATTGGGTGTTGGCATGGATATCCTTCATGGAGTGGACTTCCGCACACACAAATGGCTTGTTGCTGACATTTAGAAGAAGCGTGGCCAAATTTTTGGCATCTGAAACAACGTAAGGGGGCAGGCACATACATCCGCACTGGAAGGGAGTAAAAGGCAACTTTAATTTTCTCTGGCAGTTTGGTGC